CAAGGTAGATTTTCAAAAAACTTGCAGTAAAAAATATTTTTTATTGATGCAAGGTAATTTGGGCCAATTCACCTGGAAGTCTGAGTGCCAAAAAAATTTGTCTGAGGGCCCCATTTGGCCCCCGGGCCATAGTTTGGACATGTCTGAATTAAAGCAAAGTCCAAGTGTTAAAGGTGCATTGTGTAACTTTTCTGGTAGATGGTTCTTCAAATGCTTCTCTTCAATGAGATGTTATTGCTTTGTCTGGAATGTTTCACAGTATGGTATTAAACCTTTCTATCTTCACGGAGACCAAACCAGACCAAATTACAGGTCAGATCTGTGCATAGGCGACCCCGCTCACTGTCAGAATACCTGTTTTTCAAGGCATTTTTGAGATATAAAACCAGCTGTAACAGAACAAATGTAAGGTAAAGCTGTTTAATGTCATAATGTGGGAAATTTCAGCCAGTGTAATAGCATATCCATAGCAACAAGCAGGTGAAGGACCCCCAAAACAAAAAGTTGCATAGTGCAGCTTTAAGAAAGTGGAATTTCCTGTATTGTGAACATAGAGTTATCAAATTAAAATTGTGAGATGAGATCTATTCAGAAACAACAAAAACATTCAACCCATTCATTAGAGTTATTCATACCGAACCTTTCAGTGTGCCACAAGGACACTGTTCATATAACTGAATTTTTTTAATAGATTGTGTGGAAGACCAATGACTTTATTTGTACATTTAAAAACATCTCTGCAGTTTTGGCATTGCTTAATCACCACTGCAATTCTCAGCTCTTGTTTCTGAGAGTTGATCTTATAAAGTGTGCGGTGAAGAATAAGGGTGATCAAATGCAGGTAAGTGAGCTATAACTCTGGAAAACAACAAACAGTTTTATATGAACTGGTCCAAGATGCAAGTTTTTTTTTATTTTCAATCTCAGGATCCATTTATAGTAGGCCTGTCACGATAATTACTACATAGGCTTCTCGTTCAATATATGAAAGCTGGAACAGTATATTTTGGGTCTCGATAGTCATCGTGTGTGTAATTTCCTTGAATACCCTAAATGGAGAGATTTTTGATTTTTTTGCTGATAAAAGTGGCCATGCTTCCTCTATACTCAACTGACCCCCCCACGCACATATCCCAGGGAGTACCATCAACTATTCCACTACTGCGCCATTTATATTTATCTGTTTGATCAAGTACACGAGACCTTTACCACATTCAGTCTCTACGCAAGTCCTACAGAGCACAGAAGGTCAGGTTTTGTTCAAGGCACAATCAGAACCATGATGCATTGTGTACATTGGAGAGAAAGAAAGAGAGAGAAAAAGATCTAGCGCATTGGGTTGACGCAAAAAGAATGGTGGGCCAATAAAATATGTCATCACCCATTTACATGTGTGAGATTTGAAAAGCTGACAGCATGGAGCCATTAAGAGTGCTGTCACAAAATGTTATGAAGACAAGTTTACCACTGAGAGTATCAGATTGACACAAAGCAGATGGAGATAAGACTAAAGGAGTAAAGGCCAGGCTCAGATTTGTACTAGAGCTGCATGATGTACTGCAAAAATATTGATATTGCAATACTGGATGATGCAATGGTCAATATAGCAAGACAAGAAATATAACACAAAGTTCTCAACTTTGCTAAATTTTTGTTTTTTTTTAAGTAAAATGGACAAAAAGTCTGATTTTACCCATGAATTTCCTTATTAGGTCCTACTTGGTTTAGCCTTGTTTTTTTCTGTCATGTTTTGTTTTAACAGTTTGACTAGTAAATAAAAGCATGAACTTTTTTTTTTTTTTTTTTTTTACTGAACTTATTGGACCAAAAAGTATGTTAAAGAGTATCATAATTATATCTTTATCACAATACAGTGCATAGTTATTGTGCAGCCCTGGTTGTACGGTGCATGGTACGGTCAATACTATACTATACCACTACTTTTACTATACGGTATCATCTGAAACATGAAAAGGTCAAATTAACATATTTACAGAGACTAATTCAACAGTGAGTCATGTGTCTGCATCAGAACTCAAGATGGAAATGCTCTGGTAATTGCTGTGAAATGGTTATAAGAAGATTTTGCATTGAACTGGAATACAATGAAATAAAAACAGCAATAAAACCCTAAATATTGTATTGTTCATTAAATTCGTTATTGTGTATAAAATATACACAGTTCTCTGAGCACAAGACTGCAGTCATTACCCAGCAACTCTAAACTTGGAGTCCTCTAGTAGACAGAAGAAAATTAGGCTACCAACTGTGCCATCGGCCCCTCCAACCACCAATACTCACTCACTCATGCTCCACATATTAAAGGGACAGTCAAGAATTTTGGACATTGGCTAACTAGGAAATGAGGCCCAGAGTGTTGGAGACACTTTTTAAAATATTCCATCCAGTCTTTGTATTTGCTCTCTTCGCTGGTGCTAGGCTAACGCATGTCAATGGCCATAGTTTGCCTGACTCTAAAAACAGTCTTATAAACTCCACAAAGCACCCAGAGCAAATCGATTGTTACTCCAGATAATAAATGATAAATGTCTGTGTCGATATAATAATGTTTTGTTTATAATAATGTTTGAAATGAAAAACTAACATTGCATCACATGAATCGTTGCATGCTGAGGGACTATTTTCTCATATATCAGTCCACCGCTGTCAAGCTTTCTATAAGGACGTACAACTCGCTGCTGCTGCTCAAACATAACTCCATCAAATGCAAAGTTGGTTTTACTTCTAAAATTATTCTCTTGACATTCACATCAACAGTCTGGTGTAATAACAGATTTGCTTCGGGTGCTTTGTGGAGTGGGTAAGACAGTTTTTAGTGGCAGGATAACTATGGCCATTGACATGCACTAGCCTAGCACCAGCAACTTCTGCAAATACAAGGACTGGATGGAATATTTTAAAAAGTGTCTCCACACGTCTCCAACACTCTGGCTCACTAGTAAACTAGATCCTATGTCAAAAATTCCAGACTGTCCCTTTAATACAGACAAGATGGGTAACGTGTCTTGCTCAATAACACAACAACAAAATCCAATCCACTTTATGTATATAGCACATTTTATAAACATGAGAGTTTCCAAAGTGCTGTGACAAATTAATACAATAAAAGACAGTAAATTATAAATAATAAAGCATAAAGCTACTGGTCTAAGCAAGAAACCGCTGGTCTTTAGTTTAATGGGCGAACACTCAAAGCACTGAGCCACTCCTAGTCTCACTCAAACGCAAGATCATTCACAAGTTTCACAGTTGTAATCTCTCTTTGTCTCATTGATTATGTCATACAGTGCAGATATTATATTGCGTATGTGGTTTACTGGGTCAGACTATTGTGTTATCTTTTCAAAGCATCAAACATGTTGCAATAAACCCCAAAAGGTCAAAGGTAATTTCCCCAGAGCTCCAGCAGCGATACGACAATATGGAGCTCTGATGACTTGTAATAGTTATGTTTGGCGGTGAATAAAACTTAAGTAAGCATTCCCGTCTTATAGGCTGTTTATATAGCATACAGTACATGACATACTGATGAATGGCCTGTACTTTTCTACTGTAAGCTGCTGGCAAAGACTGCAGCAGCACCTATGCTCACATCTTGCTTGATTAGAACAAGAAATAGGCTGGCTAGAATTAGGTCACTTGGATTTTACAGATGGTCCTTGTTCAGGCATATTTTTCCAATTAGACCTGATTAGGGAGGGGGGTATTCCCAGACAGTGTGAATTATTAAAAAAACTGAAACGGAATCTGGTCCCGGGACAAGGTATGGGGTGACAGGCAGCATTCCCAAACAGGACGGGTGGCTGTGGGACCCTCTCCGTGGTTGAATGTAAGGAGAGCTTTCCTGCTATTGTCCCAAATCAGACTGGGAGTAGTAAAGAGGCAGGATGTTGTTAACAGAGGTGGACTGCTGTGATAACTACAGCTAATTTTAAACCTATGTTCAAGTTTCCTGTTTGTCATTGTATTCTGTTCAGCACACATCCACCTGTGTCAACTTTGTATCAGATGACCATCCACACATAAGCCTATTTATTTTGGCACTTTAACTTACCGTATCCAGTTTCTAATAAGACAGCCCAACTAAAACATTCATATCAGTGAATAAAAAAATATTAAAAGACAAATTCTTTGGTTAAAATGGTTCATATTTGCTAGTACAATACTGCACTAGACTAAAGTGCGTGTTTAAACCAGATAGTTTAAAGTTGCTGCCAGCCCTGCATTCACAGACTTTGATATCATTGTGAGAATGTCCTTGAAGAGTCGATGTGTGAAGTTGTTGGCGCTCAACAGCAGTGCCTGAGCATGTCACAGTGCCTCAGTGTCACCCATCGAGCCCCGCTGAGGGCAACTGACCACAAACTACCCCGACCAGACACACTGCTGACAGACTGTAGCTGGCACAGGTCCTGGCCAAGTGTTGCAAAACTGCCACCCATCACGTCTCTCTAGAAAACCTGCTCATTTAAACAACAGAGGAATAACCCCATGAATATCTGCAGCCACTCTGATCTATAGAGTATGACACCTGCTCCAGTGCTACCAGGAGGACATGGCTACTGGAAAGGCTTGGTGTGTGTGCTGTGCTTTGTGTGGCCCTGTTTGCAGTGATAAGTGCAGCTTGTGTAAACAGGGTGTGAGAGCTGTATGGTTGGTGCCCTATGACGCGACAGGTGGCACCTTTCTTGTGGGTATTTTCAGAGGACACGCGATAGGATCATATGCCCAAGTGTTGTGGCGATGTTTTTAAATAAAACCCTAGTTTCAGGAGGGCGTGTTCACACACAGTGAAAGCTGTGGACTGAACTGAAGCCTAACATTTAGTAATTACAGTAACAACTAGAGGGAGGATTTCTAAGCCTACAAAACGTGTCTAGAAAAAGTGAGTGTAAAACAGTTCAGATTGGATTAATACACTTCATGTGGGCCAATAAAAATAGAAAAGTGTGTCATGTGTCTCATTCTCACACTCTTACCTTGTCTGACAGTCTTTAACCTGACTGGACCTTTGCAGTTCCGTATGACCGTCTGTACGTCGTAAAGCGGTAATCCAGAAATAGACAGGTTTTCCACTTCTAGAAGCAGTTCTCCCTCAGCTACAGTCCCGTAGTGGTAAATCACCTCGGCGTTGTTCACGGGACCGATGTAGGCAAACTCCCCGTGCTCCGCGCCGCCGCGCAGCGCTACGTTCAGCTCCCCACGAGCATCTTTACCCACAGCGCACTCGTTCACTCTGGAGCTCCAGTGGCTTTTCTTGGCCATAATGAACAGTTTCAAGCGGCCCTGCCAAAATGATAAAACAAACTCACTGCGGCAGTGTGTTTAGAGCAGTAAATCCAAGAATAAGTAGAAACTTTATTCCTCTCCACAGAAGCATAAGTGCGCCCACGGTTCTCCTGTGGGACAATTCAGGGCATCCCCACGGCCCCTTACGCGCTCTCTACACTCTTCGGATCATTGTCCACTTTAATTCTGCTTCATCGATGTCATCTTATATCTGCTACAGTGCCACTCATATAGCGTATCCACTCAGCAATTCCCCTTGTTGCCCAAACTCACTTCAGGTGTTGGCGTGTTGCTGTATCCTCTGCGTAAAAAGTGACTAAACGCTGTCCTCCTCGTTTACCAAGAGCGACTTTATCGCCGAGTGCCTCTGCCCACAGCAGGAAGACCGCTCTCGTGTTGGTTACTACTTATCTGACTACTCCGTGCTCGTTCTGCAGCTCAAATGTGTTGGCTGTGTTGCTGTTCATGCGCACTTCATGTGCCATGGGAAAATGTAACATCCACCCAAGTTTACCCACATATTATATAGAATAGAGGTGTCCATTGGTATTTTCCCAGGACATAAACATAATTTAATGTAACACTCCACATATAATAGAAACTACAGACATTCCTGTATTACTAGCCAATTATTAAAAACGGATTTACAGCAGTGAAATTGCAGTAGAAAAATCTTCAAACATGCGTAGAGATTACGAAAGGCTCTTGAATGCAGCACAATTACAATGAGCGCATGCGTATTGTTTCAAAGTGGTTAAGGTCTTTCCTTGTTCTTTTTCCAGTATTAGGCCAATAAACAGTTGACAAAGACCACATGTATGAAGAGTTTTTAACACTTTATAAAATAGGCTACAATAATAATAATTGATTGCAAAAGTTGTATGGGTTGGTCTATAATTAGACTAATATTAGGGTTATTAAGTAAATTTTGTTCTTTCTAACACAGCATTAAGTCTCTTATAAACCGTAGTACAATACATTTATTTGAAATCCATTTTTAATCTGGCAATTCACAATCACAAACGAAAGAAAGAAATCATATGCTTCCGGTGTCGCAGATCTGCTATTCTGGTTTTACAAGTTCAGGAAAACCTCCCACTTGGTTCAGCCTTTAGTCATCCAGTAATGATTTTAAATAGTTTTTGTTTTTTTGTTTTTTTTTTTCTTTCCTCATGTTCAGAGCTACAAAATAAACCATATTATATCAGAATTTGTTAACACCTTAAAGGTGCTCTTTGTAACTCATTGTGTGGGGTCAGCCATCTGCTCGTCTTCATGGAGAATGAATTTATTTGCTTTATTTATTGCTCTGTCTAATGCTCCACAGTATGGCATTCAACTTATTTATCATGCATTTTCAATTAAAGGTTTATTAAATGCTTGTATATACCTTAAAATACATGCATATTACTGTGAGTAGGCTCGACTCTAAACAAATTTGACCTGTAACTTGGTATGTGGCGTTGTCTGATGGAGACATATATGTTTATTCTGTGGAACATTTCAGGTGAACAATAACATCTCCATGGAAATCAAGCAGATGATGAACCTTCACCAGAATAGTTGCGTAGTGCACATTTAAATACCATTTGTATCTGAACCATGCTTATGAAGTCAGTAATGAATATATCTTTTATTCATTGTTTACTTCTTATAAGATATGCCATAGCTTTAGAAAATGGTGCTGCTTTCTGAATGCTTGTAGTCTCTTCTTTCTAACATCCTTTTCACATTTGCAAAATCACGGCTAATACTGCTGCTATGTATGAAGTTTTATGCTTGTTTCTTATTTTGCTCTGATCATTCTGACCTCCAATGATGAGGGTCACCCAGCGTGTCTGCCAGCTTCCTGTCACACAGCATCACCCAAATCATGGAGACACACAGGCACCCGCTGGCCTCACATTTCATATTCTTTTTACACGTATCCATCAGACTATGCTTGTCCAGATCTCTTTGCACGCTACTTCAACTTGTTTCACCACAATTTGGCCTCTGTCGTTCATTATCTGTTCATCTGTGTGTGTGTGTCCAACTGTGATGTTACAGCTTCATTTATTAGAGGCACTTATAGGAATTTGTGAAGTTTGTGTATTTCTATAAACAGCCACAGATCAATATTCTTTCTCTTTCTACACAACTAATCAAAGAAAATAATTGTGTTATCTGGGCTACATTCCAAAAAAAAACAAAAAACAAAAAAACATATCGTACAACAACAATGAATAAAAGATATATTCACAAATGGTATTTAAATGTGCACTATGTAAATACTATGGTGAAGGGTCCACCATCTGCTTGTTTCCATGGAGATGCTATTGTTCGCCTGAAATGTTCCACAGAATACATTTATCTGAAGGCCATGCTTAAATCGCTTTTTTTTTTTTTTTTTTTTTTTTTCATGGTTCATATATTTTTTGTAATTGTTGGGATTTAACTGTGTTTGGTTAAATCCACTTGTCACTCACTTATGACATGACAGAGGCTGAGCAATAAGAGGGGGTGGGTGGGGAGTGTTTGCGTGTGATTCATTAAAGAGTGGATTACTGAGTAAACATATGATTGAAAAACATGTGACAGTCAGGAATTTTGGACATCGGACCTCATTTTCTAGTTAGCCAGAGTGTTGGAGAAGTGTGGAGACACTTTTTAAAATATTCCATCCAGTCCTTGTATTTGCAGAGGTCACTGGTGCTAGGCTAGTCCGCAAAGCACCTGAAGCAAAACAATTATAACTCCAGACTGTTGATGTGAATGTCTGTGTTGATAGAATAATTTTAGAAGTAAAACCAATCTTGCATTTGAAGGATTTATGTCTGAGCAGCAGCAGCGAGTTGTACTTCCTGATAGAAAGTTTGGCAGTGGCGGACTGATATCACCTAGCACCTGTCTTACTGGCAAAACACGGTAAAATTCCGCTGCTGCTGAGAAAATAGTCCCTCAACATTCGACGATTCATGCGATGCAAGGTTAGTTTTATTTCAAACATTATTCTATCAACACAGACATTCACATCAACAGTCTGGTGTAATAATAGATTTGCTTCGGGTATTTTGTGGAATGGGTAAGACTGTATTTAGTGACAGGTTAACTATGGCCATTGACATGCACTAGCCTAGCACCAGAGACCTCTGCAAGTACAAGGACTGGATGGAATATTTTAAAAAAGTGTCTCCACATGTCTCCAACACTCTGGCTAACGAGAAAATGAGGTCATATGTCCAAAATTCTGTCCCTTTAAAAAAACAAAGGAAAAATTCCACAGATATATTGAATATATGCTACAAAATATATAGTCCCAACACGAGACATCTCCATAGCTGCAACCTGTGTGACTGTTTGCCCTTTGTTACCATGACAACTTTTGGTGAACTCCATTCTCTGACCTTTGACCTCTGTGCACCCATCTGTACAATCCTGGCTCTGCAAATGAGGCAGGTCACATTAATCTAGTTTCCCAGAGTGCCCTGATAATGCCTCGTTCATCATCATATCCACAAAGCATTAGTTAGAAATCAGCCATGCGCGGCTCAGTGTTCCTCTGAAAGATTAAAGAATGAATGGAGGTGCAGAGAAGGGACATCAGATTATAAGACTGTGGAGAGCTCTTATGTCACATGACTGAGTGGCTGGGGCTTTACTGGCCTTCCCTCGATGTAAGATGTTCATGAATTCAGTCAATACTGTCTAAGTTCTAAAATGAAGTAGGTCAGACTGTGGTAAAAGCTACTTCAAGTGATATCTGGGCAGCTCTTCAGGTTGTAGGTTTAACTACTTAATATTTAGAGTTCATTTTATCCACTTTTTTGTCCTTCTTGAATAATCCTGTCATATACGTACATAGATATAGGTACTTGAAAAGCCAAATCTTTTCTTTTGTGATACTTGATGTCTTTGAGAACTACTGAAGTAGGTAATCTATAGCACAGTGTTTCTCAAACTGTAGTCTGATTACCACTGGGGCTCTATGCAGTTTCAGTATTATGTTTTATTTAAATACAAATGTATGATTCCTATAAAGGGACAGTCTGAATTATTTTTATTGTAGATTTTGTAAACATAAACTATGTGTGTCCCCTACTCTCTCACTGGTTCTCAAGCTACTTATCAAATTAGAAAGTAGAATGAGCCTCACATGAGTTTTGCTCTTTTTTTTTTTGACATTTGGATTGCATAAACCCGAGCATCTGCAGACCATCCATAATTACTGCTAGTTCAGCCTCTGCAGCTCAGTGAGGAAATTCTGGAGGATCTGGGCTTCTGAGCTTTCATATAATTTCATATGAGGAATGACTTATACTGAGAATGTGAAAAACATGTATGTATGTATTTATGTATGTATGTATGTATTTATGTATGTATGTATGTATTTATTTATTCATTTAATCAAACAAGCCTGCCAGTTTTAGTTGTTTCATTTATACACGATTAACTTCTATGACCTTACATTAACTTACATTAACAAAGGATGGGTTTTGCATTGGCTTTAAACTGTATTGTTAAGAATAATCCAGAAGCGTCCGTATTGACTGAGGCTCTGTAGGGCTGGTAAGCGCTGAGTGAGTGATCCACTATATTCAGCATATTTAAGTGCCTAAATTCACGTCAGCACATTTGTGATGCTGGCTGGGCTCCATGTGGGGAAAAAATGCTGCAAACACTAAGCTTCTCCAAGACATTGATGAAGCACAACAACACAAGATGGTATTTAGTATGCAAAGATGTGCGTGTTTAATTGGGGTACTGTACATATAGGTTGTACTTTGATTTATAGAAATTCAATCTGAAGGGTACATGCATTTTCTGTAGCAACACATGACACTGATGAGATAATTCCAATTCTGCACCAAGGATTGTTCAACAAATAGTTCTAAACAGGGATAGACTGTGACTTAAAAGTGCTTTGCGTAACTTTTGTAGTGGAAAGTTGTCTGCACATCTCCATGGAGTCAAGCAAGTAAGCTACTAGGACAAGTTACAGGTCAGAGCTACGGATAAGTGACCATGCAAGTAATATATGTTTAATACTGTGGAACATTTTAGGCAAAGCAATATCTTGTCCATGGTTACAAGCATATAACAGCCCCTCCCCCTCAAAAAGTAACAGAGTGCACCTTTAATATCAGCAAAATTGATCATTCTGATGGGCAATTTGGAAATAGTAGCTCAAACATATGTATATTTATAATTTAAGAGCAAAAACAAAACTGCTTTAAAGCAAACCAATGCAAAAACAAAAAAGTAAAAGTAATTGCTACGGTTTACTGTATATACATTTTCTGTATACATTAGTTTTTTGTTAAATTACATTTTGTCATGATTTCTGTGTTCATGTGCAGTTCATCCAAACACACAATTTTGGATATAAACTTCCATAATCGCGTATGTGTCTGTCTTCTATAAAATCCTTTGTACTGGCTGCTCCTTATTTCTCTACTTTTACTGATTCAATGTGTCTTGGATTCTTGCA